CCCGCCGTCTGTCTCATGCCTCACCTCGAGCCAGCCGTTTAAGTTGCACATGCTGTGAGCTGGCGGCCGTCCAACAAGTGCAATTGCGTGCTGTTTGGAGTTAGAAAATCAATCCAACTAGGTGGACGCGGCTTCTGTCGACGTGACCGGCCCCGACAGGAAGAAATGTCTGATGCATGGCCTAATTTCCGACATTCCCTCTGCTCTTTAAATCCCCCGTCACCTCGCAGCACCTGAAATCCGGTGGGAATAACATGCTCCTTGCCATTTTGAGTAAAACTTCCACCTTTCCCCCTCGCTTACTCGTATTTTCTCCACTTTTTCCTGTTTCCATGGGAGTCACTTCCAGCCCCCCCCCCCCCTTCTCCTCTCCTACCAATTTGCCCATATGTGCACACAAAGTACATCCCGCCCTCCCACTGCATTCTCACACCTTCTTTGACCCCCCCCCCCCACGCTTTTTTTTGGGGAGTCCAGAAGGGACAGGGACTGGGAAGTAAGGGTTGTGTGGAGGAATTGAGAGGACATAGTTTTTAATGTGTCCAGTCATCCAACGTATGTCTGAAAATGACTGCAAGGTTTCGCATCGCAATGCAAAATAAATCGGGGATCTGGAATTCTGATTTGACTGAAAAATGTTTGGTTCTTTCCACTATTTTTCCTATTTTTTATTTTCTCTTTGTGACTTTTTTTGGTGACTTTCTTTCACTATCACTTATTTTTCTGCAGGTGGGCTGGAGCACAGCGAGGGATTATTATACCTTTCTTTGGTCTCCCATGCCTGAAAACTATGAACCAGGAAGTACTGTGCACAGGACTGTGGTGTTTCAAGGTACACACACACACACACACACACACACAGACACACACACACACACACACACCATGTAAACCACTATACAGACCAAGGGTATTCCAAAGTAACTCCTCCATTTTACAGTGCATATAAAAACCAGCACTTTTATTTAATAAGGGAACACAACCGCAAACAGCGGCCTGGGACCTAAGCACCTCTCAAACCACACGCACACACACACACACACTGAGGGTCTGCAGAGCGGTTTTACTGGGCCTGGAACGGTCAGATATTACACAGTGAAAATATGAGAGCATACCGTGGTGTGTTGGGAGTCAGTAAAACCATCGGGCTTCTGGATACTCTGCACTTACTCCCCCTCAGTCTCACACAGCAGCCGGCCCGAAGCTGGATTTGTGGCCCTTGGGCCGGACCCGCGGCCATCGCGTGGAAGCCGGTCGGCCTAAAAACGCTCGACTCTCCTCTCCGTCCCCGGCAGGTTATTACGTCCCCAAATCCGACGGGGAGTTCTACCAGTTCTGCTACGTGACGCATGCCGGGGACATCCGGGGAGCCAGCACGCCCTTCCAGTTCAGGCCGGCCACGCCCACCGAAGAGCTGCTGACCGTCACCGAGGACGACAGCAACTCGGACATACTGGTCGTCACCACCAAAACCGGCCTGCTCGAGGTAGACCACACAAGATCGGGGGCCTTTGTTTATTTTCCATCTGTCTGGTCTTGACCTCCAATAAAGAGACCCACAGTGAACTCTGACCCCAGCAAGCAGGGAGACAAGATGAGAGGAAATTCCTCTTTTAGCTTGTTCGAATGGGTTCGATTCACGTCTAGACAGATGTAAATAACTTAATGCGTGCATCGCAGCATCACTTTAGGGGTCAGAACAGGATAAATAAACAAAGATGGATAAAACAGCCAACTCAAATAAAAAATATCTGCTTTTAGCTTCACGCTGGGTTCTGTAGAACAGCTGCCTTCGCACAGCTACTTTTCATCTGGTTGCATGTCCTCAGACATGAACACTTATTCACATATATGAAGGCTAATATACGTGGAGCAGCTCGGGGCATTAGTGACTGGATGTCTGCTACCCTTGATTTATAGGCTTTAAATACCTCCAAAGCTTCAGATGTGACTATTGTTGAGGTAGTCATGATTTACAATCTAGTGGTTCTGAACAGGCTTTGTTCTCTGAAGTGCTACCAAACTGAATGCTCTGGTTGGGCGGTATACTGGTAGTAATAGTTTTTTTTTTGTGTTTTTTTTCACGACATTATTTTTGCAAACATGGTCTAACATCGTCTGGGTGCCATGTGGATGTGCCGCTCCTCAAGTCGCAGCGCAGCCCCGCTCATGCCCTTTCCCTCCCAATCTGTCAGCAACAGACAGAGCTGCAAAGTGCTCCCAACCAGTTTTACCGTCACAAACGGAACGGTTGAGTTTTTCCTCAAAAGCAGCACGTAGAGACACGTCACACCAAATGTGGCAAATCTTTACAGACGAGCTCTTTTTCTCATCTCTCTGCATCCAATGGAGTTGCAGCTCTAATATTGAGCGCCATCCATTCAATTAAGGCGTCATATGCAGCCTTGTATCTGAAGACATGGGGAGGTGTGATTTGTTTCTATAATTTAGATTTGCAAATATGTGTTTTTTCATTGTATTTTTTTAAACCGAATATCTCGCAAGCATGCGAACAGTTACCTGGAAAAATGAACCGGCTCGCACTGTGCCTTTTCTAAGCCTCCGTTTTCCTCTCCGTTACTTCCCCTTCTGCATGACAGCGCGTGGAGGAGGCACAGCAGGAGCGCAGGGAGCTGCTGAAAGCCATGCGTCTCCTGCAGGAGGAGAAGCAGCAGCTGCAGGAGGAGCAGAAGCGACTGGCCAGGGAGAGGGAGCAGGAGAGGGAGACGTGTTGTTTACTGCGGACACATAACCAGGTTAGAGAAGAGGGGGGGGGCAGGGTGGAGCGATGGCAGGAATGGAAGCATTGAGACATTAAGTTTTCAACTATACACACACACACACACACAAGCCAAACATTACTTTGTGTAGATGGAGCCGAAGTGTTTCTACATGCGTCTACATAATTACTTTTTTCAGTCAAAGGCTCTTTTGAAAGCATTGTGAGGGTAGGTGAGAGGGTTTCTTTTATGTGTGTGTGTATGTGTGTGCGTGTGTGTGTGTGTGGATGTTCAGCCAACACATGCACATCTGCATGGAGCCGGTTCCTCGCCATTGATCATAGCGCTGAAAACTTCAAAGGTCTCCATTTATGAATAATCTGTGTCCGTGTTTGAGCGACACACAATGAGCCGCTGTGTGTGTGTTTGTGTGTCTGTTTGTGTGCGTGTGTGCGTGCGTGCGCGCGCGGGTTCTCAGTCTCTGGTTCCTTCTTTAACGACCTGACTCAGTGGGCCAGAACGGAATTGGGACAGAGTTTTCCCGGGCATCTGGCGTCAGGGACGATGCCATCGCGACCGCAGAGCCAACAAACATGACGTCAAACGTGCGCGCGCGCGCGCTCACGTGCACGCCAGGGTCCGCGCTCAGACTCTGGCCTCGCACCACAGGGCCCCTTTCTGGTGCGCATTCACACACGCACGAGCACTCACAAATACAAACACGCTTATTATGCCACCCGCTTGCAAACCCTCTTAGTCGGTGTGTGGAATGAGAGGAGGGTAGTCCACAAAACCGCCTGTCTGAAAAAAGGAGCCCTGCCCAGCCTCAGGGACAAACACCACGCAGTCACGCGATTCAGTGGCCACTGCTTCCTTTCTATTTTCTTTCTCTCTCTCTCTCTCTCTCTCTCTCTCTCTCTCTATGCTTTCCTTTCCAGTGTTTAGAGCTGCCTTGAATACAAAAATAAGAACGTAAACAGCTCATAGTTACTTTTAGGAACCTCTGTCCAGAACTGACATTTAAAAAATGAGTGAAGCACCGTACTTAGTTTGTTGTTTGTTAGTTATTGTTTGTTATCTGAAAGCAGCAGCTAGGCGCATAGGGCTTAAAAAAAAAAAAAAAAAAGTCAACTCAATCAAGATTTATATAAGCTGAAAGAGTAGAGTTGGAGAGAGAGAGAGGATACACTCCCAGCTTGCCAGGGGTTTTGAGAGGATGAATCTAGTCTCATATCGCCCCCTGGTGCTTCTCTGAGGACTAGATCCCCACCGAGAGCTTGAGAGCTGCTTTGAGTTAGTCCACTGGTCGTTTTACGAAGGACAAAATCGCCATAAATTGAATTGTAACGCGCACACACACGATACACGCATTTTTTTTTCTTGTTTTTTTTTTTTTTACCATGCTGCTTTTCATTCAACAGGCACGTCCATCTGTGGATATACGACTTGTGCACACTCGTGTGTGTGTGCGTGAGTGTGTGCGTTTACAGAGGGTGCGTCAACTCGTGGCACGCTCTGATGAAAATATCCTTTGAGTTTAACATGAAAACATAAGTACATATTTTGTGGCTGCTAATTTTACGACTACACTTTTTATAAGGTCTTTATGCACTGCTAAAGTGCTTCCCAAACGCCAGCAGTAAAAATCATACTGCAACCTACACAGAGCCAAGCCCACAGCCTGAGTGTACACCGGAGTGTGTGTCTGTGCGCGCTCTGGCCGGTGTATTCAGATCTCACTGTCTATACGCCCTTGAACGGGCTTTGTGTCTGCGCGGCTTTGTTTCCGCGGTTTGGAGACGGCGGGAGAAAGTGAACATGTAAGTGCTCCACGTACGAACTGAAAGCAGGGTGTGTGTGCACAGGTATGTCGTTCTGTCACAGCCAATATTAGCTACGGATGATTTAATGTTTCTCACCGCTGATTATAAGCAAGTTCAAACAAGGCCCCCCCCACCACCACCAGCAGCAACACCACATTCAGAAAAACCAGGCGCTTGTGTGGCTGGTCGTCTATTAGGAGGATTTGGATTAAAGAAATTCTTTGATTCTGGACAATGACTGCTGTTCCTGCCGGGCCCGCTGGGCCCTCCCGTTTGTTCACTTCAGGCCGCGGAACATTCCAGCGGCCTGGGAGTCTCATTGTGTGTTTAGCGTCCATCGATAAGTTCACAAGTCGCGATTTGTAACGGCTGATTTACGACTGATAAGACGAGGCTTTACAGATGCCCGGAGGGGAACTTCATAAATCACAAATAAGAGTTACAAATAGGGAGAGAAAAAAAGACAGAAATGGCACGCAGAGTACATTTTGCGCCAGTATGCACACGCAAAAAAACGAGTCAGGTTGAGCAGAAGCTTAAACTAAAGCTGGAAACAAAGCCTTTCATAAATCGGAATCAATCTGAATAAAAAAATAAGCATTTGAGCCTAGTTCCTTCCTTGTGGGACTTGTGCTGTGTGACAGTTCAGACTGCTGTCAAAGGCAGTCTGTTAATAATCATAAGTTGCGGAGCATTTTTTAGTTTTTTTCCCCCCCTCCTGCTTCAGCTGCTCTGATTGGCTGCCTCTCCGTCCCGCAGGAGCTGCTGAGATCTTCGCAGGGCCTTTCAGAGGAGCGGGAGGAGGTGCGGAGGAGGCTGACGGAGGCCACTGACCGGGTCCGCCAGCTGGAGGAGGACCTGCTGGGGGTCACCCAGAGGGGCCTGCAAAAGGAGACGGAACTGGACTGGTGAGGGAACGTTGACGTGCAGCCGCCAATTTATGCGACAGCTTGGCTGTTAAATACGTGTCTGAGCTCCCTGTCTGCCCGGCCGGCCGTCCACATCATATGTTTGCATTTACATCCAAACGCTTGGACAGAGTTTGGTTGCACCTGGTGGCTCTCATTGGGCCATTTCAGACATCATGCCAATCCTGATGCCTTCTTAAGATGTTGATTTTGTTCATGGACAACTTTCGCTATTGTAAAAAGTAACTAAAAAGACCAAGAACTCATGAAAATGTTTAATTTGAGAATTTGTAGGATCATTTGACTAAATATGATATAAAGGAGCTGTCATTTTCCAGTCTTCGTGACCGTTTGAAGAAGCTCACAGCAGAGAGAGACAGTCTGGAGAGCCAGCTGAAGAACGAGAAGGACGAGAGGGATCTCTACAAGGTGAGTGAAAGCTTCGTTTTTTTTTTCATCACGCGTCTGCCTCCGTCCCCCCCGGGCGAACTGTCACTGAGCTGGGCTTCGGCATCTCCGCAGGCCCACCTGCGCAGCACCGAGCTGGAGAACACCAAGCTGAGCGCAGAGCTCCAGATGCTGAAGGCGGTGGAGCTGAACAGGGAGGTGACCATCGCCCAGTTCCAGGAGGAGCTGGACCGGCTCCGGGCCTGCGTGGTGCAGCGGGACAACCTGGAGAAAGAGCTTCTGCTGCACAAAGCCGACAAGGTGGGGGGCCGCCCCGTCACAGTGTCCCCCTCCGGCCGCTTTTGCGGTACATGCCGGTGGCTCATTTTTTTCAGTTTTTTCTCAGGCGGAGCTGGTGCGCGTCCGCGAGCAGCTGCGCCAGGCGGAGGAGCAGCTGCTGGCGTCCAGGCAGCAGGCCTCGCTGCTGGCCTCAGAGCTCCGCGACTCGGCCGGCGCCCGCGACCACACCATGGGCGAGCTGTACCGGGCCCGCCTGGAGGCCGACAAGCTCCGCGCCAGCCTGGCCGACGCCCAGGCCGAGTGCCAGCGCATGGAGAGCCAGCTGGACCGGATGAGGAGCACCGCGCAGAAGGAGGTGGTCAGTGCCCGGCCGGACCGGACCGGAGAGTTTCTCCGGTTTTTCTTAGTGTTTTCACCCCCAAAATTTCCAATTTCCCAATTTTTTCATCCGCGTCACGGGCCAATACCCCCTCACGTCCCCTAAACGCATCCCAGGCTCGTCGGATTCAGTCAGACTTGGTCCGGAGGCTTTGCGCACACGGTTTCCGTCCTCCCGTTTCAGGGCGTGGGGACCGGCGGGGAGGCGGCGCCGGGCATGGCGGTGGTGTCGGAGGCGGAGGCGGAGCTGCAGAGGGAGGTGGAGGAGCTGAAGCTGCGTCTGCACATGGCCGCCGAGCACTACAAGGAGAAATACAGGGAGTGCCAGCGCCTCCGCCGGCAGGTGGCCAAGCTCAACAGCACAGAGTCGCAGGGGGTGAGTGCCGGCCGGGAGGGACCCGTCAGCAGACAAAAAGAAATGTCAGTCACTGGGACACAGAATTTTTCGTTCGGTGTAATTTATTTTGTTTTTTTTAATGCTTTGCAGGAGTCAAAGAGAAATGTGTCCACCGAGACAACACAGGAGCCGCTGACTCCCAGTCCAGAGTCCCCCACTGAAGGTAGAAGTGCAGAAGGAGACGGACGCCATTGTCAGAGACAATGGTGGACAATCAGAAAAATGTCTTTGTTCCGAAGAGAATGTTCTCACAAACCCTGAAAACTAGTTTCAAGATTTAAAATTACATTATTTTTTATTTAACTCACGCAAACATCCCAGATTTATATTCTACCACTGTACGTTGTGTTTCTGTTATTTGATTCATCTTTACCTGTCTCTTTTTATTTATATTCCTCGACATGTTTTCATAGGAAACATCAATATCGCGGCGCTACAGGAGGCCGCAGCCATGACAATCACCCCCGACCTCGCTGACAAGGGAGTCATGCACGTAGGTGCCGAGACGGAGGAAACGCAGAGGGGGAGCACACTGAGGGAGAGCGTCCACGTAGAGGCCGGGGGGGCCGCCAAAAAAATGGAGGACGGCAAAAAAGACAAGGAAGAGGAGGAGGAGAAGAAGGAGGAGAGTCTTCCGGAGGAGAGCCTGAGGATGACCAGCTGGGTGGAGGTGGGCAGTGAGAGGCTGAGCGTGGCGGAGGAGAGAGAGCCAGAAGCCCCCCAAAAAGAGGAAGAGGAAGAGGAGGAGGAGGAGGAAGAGGAGGACAGCAGTGAGGAGGAGCAGGACCTGGAGGAGGAGGAGGAGGAGGAGGAGGAGGATGAGGAGGGGAGGAGCACGGACGAGGCAGAGAAGGAGCAGACGCGCTCGGTGGAGGCTGAGCTGGCCATGATGGAGGAGAAGTGGAGGGAGCAGTGCGCCATCAACGAGACGCTCAAACAGCGGCTGGCCGACGAGGAGGAGCGATTCCGAGTAAGGAGCCGCCAC